CCAATTAACAAGAATATATCGGTTGAGCAGTTTATTTGCGTGATATTTATATGAGAAAACCTGGAGGAAAATAAAAATATTACCTATAATTCTAGAAAGAAGTGAGAACATTTTCCACTTTTTAGCAATTTGTTATGCGCAAAAAAAATTGAATATGCCAACATAAAGAAGGCGACTAAATTTTTTGGCAATTTAAAATGGATCATTTTGGTAGGACATTGGAACATTAAATTTAAATATTTTTCGTTGTCTTTGAATTCCATATTTCTTGAAATTTTCCCTAAAAGTATAATAATTTCAAAATAATTTTTATTTAACGAGAAAATATTCTGAGACGCGTTCACCACCCTCTGTATTTTAGTATAATTAACAGCAAATGTAATTTTTTAATTTAAAATTTCAACCAGGTTTTATTTTTTTATTGAAAAAATTAAATATTAGTTTAAATTCACTAATTTCGTGGTCCGCTTGACCAATTAATATATTACAATTAATTAAAGTTTTTTTAGTTGAGATAAAAAAGTCAATGGCACGAGCGGTATTCGAACCCACGATCTTCGGCCACATAAATGTTAGCACCCAAGAAATCGACCGATTTAATAGACGAGAAGAAGGAGAAAATCAATTTATAAGACTAGAAGAGGGATATTTGAAGAAAAAGATCGGATACTGACAAATATATTTTTGTCAAAGGTCAGCTATCATTTATCCTTTATGTAATGTAATATATAGTATATAGTGAAAAACAACTTTTAAAATAATAGAATTGTGTTGTTAGGTGAGCTACGACATTTTTGTTATTTATTATTGCTTCTTCACCTCTTGATTTATTTGTACTATTGATTCGCCATTATTTATTTCTCCTGTCCTGCTATATTCTAAAATAATATTCCAAACAGTTTTACACTATAAATCAAAATTGCATAGAATAAAACGTCATACGATATAAATTTTGATGAACCTTACCTCAAAAGTTTTAATTATAAGTAAAGACTACCCAGAATAATTTTGCACATTGTAAGGGTCAAATATTAACATGGTTGGAGGTGTCCCACCAAGGCGTGTTAAAAGATACGAAAGAGAGAGTATTATTTTGGAGTTAATATCGGTTATCCTTTCTTTCTTTGCAAAGAGAAACGGATACTTTCAGAAAAAATACAGGCCCTTTAAAAATAAAAATAACAATCAAAACTCTATACAATGAAGGAAAGAACAAGCAATTCATAAATTCGAAATTTTCTACTTATTCTATAATCATTTACCCTTCTCCTCCAGGATACCTCTACCCAAGTCCTAAGTGGCCATAATGTTGAACAACACATTGTATTGAGTATCTTTTGGGAAGATCTCTACTTAATCTCAGCAAGAACGCAGCTACGCAAAATATTCACCAAAACCTGGCTGAAACTCTTGGAGGAAAGCGAATCCAAGCGGACCTCAGGACACGACTGCTGAAGACGGAGGAGACCAACAAAGGAGTGCCCTTTCTGGAGACCTTCACTGCCTCGACCTTCATATCACAATTGGTACCCTACGACACCTACAGGGACTCAACCTAGAAGCTTCTCGGATGCTCTTCTTCAGTTTTATTATATTTGCACTTTATTTCTTGTCAAACGGCCTTTTATGTAAATTGTATTTAAGAGGAAAATTTTGTAAGGATAACATATTAACATGGTGCGAGGTGTGATAAAATATAAGAAAGAGAGAGTATCTTTTTGGAGTTGGTATCAACCGTATATATGACGAGTGACGTGGGATACCCGAAAATATTCGATGCCAGTACTCGATACTGGTATCGAAATAAATATTTGGTATTACTCAAGTATCGACAGAAATTATTCGATTCTAATGATTACTTACTCATATGAGTACTTTTTCGTATATTCCTAAATGATCAACTTACTATTGTGGACTTAGGTTAATATACGCTCAGGCGTTAAAATAATCGAAAAATTGAGGGTTTTTTTTATTTTTAAGTATTTTTTCATTCAGTGGATAGGTAGGTAAGAACAAAAAAAATCTACCAACACATTTCAATATAATTGATATTTCAATTTTATCGTCATCGAGTTTTGAGAAAATTGATCAATGGGTGTTTGGTTTTCAAATGTTTGAAAAGATAAGACGTATTCCCACTGTATTCCCCAGAGTTTACAAGGTACCAACGATTCAGTTTTCTTAGTAAAATAACCTCACGACTTACTTTTGGGAGGATTGATTAGGTAATCTACCTACGAGAAGGTTTCGGGGAAAATGCACTTTCAGGTAGTCACCCCTTGTGATTACAATTATAGTTTGAATGATGACCATCGTAACATAACTGCTACACAGATGGTTCACTTATTAAAGGTAGAGAGAGTGGTGCAGGAATCTACATACGAAAATTAGGAATCAGCATCTCCTCCCCTCTTGGTAATAACACCTCCGTTTTTCAGGCGGAAATCCGTGCCATTAATGTGTGTTGTACAACACTTATGGAAAATCAAATGAAGGGAAAAGATATTAGAATTTTTTCTGACAGTCAGGCTAGTCTTAGGTCATTACAAAAAGATTTGTCAATCTCACGACTGGTGGAGGAAACTGTAGATCTTATCAATAGGATCTCTTCGAGATTTGAGAACAAGCTAACTCTTATTTGGATACCAGCACATAAAGGACACCATGGCAATGAAGTGGCGGATAGCCTGGCCAAAGAAGGTTCTGCGTTTGTCGGGCCACAACCGGTATTTCCTCTCTCTATGAGCACAGAGAAAGAGAGTATTAATAACTGGGGCATGAAACAATTCCTTACGGAGTGGAATTTATCCCCCGGACACAGGCAATCGAAAGAGTTTGTTAAGGCGATCAAACCAGCAGAATCGAAATGGCTATTCTCTAACTCAAGGAAGGGAATTAGGAGGTTGATAGGTATTCTGACGGGCCACTGCCCACTGAGAAGACACCTCTTCGTAATGGGTATCCTACCAGACCCCTTTTACCGTTTTTGCGAAATAAAAGAAGAAACGGCAAGGCACTACCTCGCAGAGTGTGATAGTATTCTAGGTCTAGATTTGAAATCTTTGAAAGAGAGGACATCACCAATTTACTCCCCGAGATTAAATAGTCCAAAATCTTGGGGTTTGTGAACAGGTCCAAGAGATTTATGCAGGACAGCCGACCAAGTCCCGGACCTTTGAGGGAGGGGGTACGAGTCTACCCAGGCATTTAATCCCTCGGTTCTTGGTCGCCCACTCTCCATAATATATACCTACGAGAAGGAAGGCGAACTCATTTTAGGGACTTGAAGACAAAAACATTTTATAAGAAATTACTGAAATTGAAAGTGCGACGCGGGAAAGAATTATGAGTTACCAACCACCAATTAAAAATCTAGATGAACTTTCTTGGCATATGCCGCTAGTAAGCACTCTTAACAGTAATTTAGTCAATTCCCAGTTTGATGAGAAGTAAATTTCGAACGGTAAATAACAATTCAACATTGAACACTCAATGAAAAATCTCTTAGTGAATATTTTCCTACAAAAAGTATTCGATACGGCACTTGTATCGAATGACAATATTCGATACCAAAATTACTCGGTATCGAAAGAAAGTGCTCGATACTTTACTCATATCGATTGGTATAGCACGTGACTATCTATGACCCGTTAGTTTATTGTTTCTTTCTTTCCTCTCATTGTTTAATTAATTACTTAATTTTCATCAAGGGTTTGTATTTTTGTTGTATTGTTTAAAGAGATTGTATTATTTTGTCAATTTTAAATATTGTTATTTTTAGAAGATTATTATTATTATTTTAATTATATTAGTTTTGACTCAACGGCATTTTCTATTTAATTTATTATCCTCAGAACATGTACTTTTTAAATAAATGTGAAATATTGATGATTGCATTTTACAAAATAAGGAGAGCAGTATAAAAGATTGCAAATTTAAAAATGAACATCTATTAAAAAGATTTCATACTATGATTTCAGTGCCAACGGTGATAAAATCTTTTAAAAAGACAAAAGCAACGAGGCCTATAAATTTTTATGATTTACGGTTGTTCAGGGAAACAAGACTGTTTCAATGCTGAATGGGCAATGAATGTCTCGGGGCATCCCTGTTATTACTGTATACGACCTAACACTTTCGGGCTAAGGGCAATTTTTGGTTAGACCTCCGATCCTGGTTAGGTTTTACTGTCCTTCGTTTTAGAGATCAGATTTAATCTGATGGACGTTTTACCGTTCGTATTGTACAAGTTGTACAAGGGCGATAAAGCGTCAAACATACTGAGACTTCCAAAATGGGATAATCTTTTGAATCCCACTTACCGAAATGACCTGATTTTAAGTGTTTACCGAGATTATTTAAAGAGAATGGGGTAAGATTATTCAGCCTGGATGTTTTGTGGGAAAAAAACCGGCACCAACGGGATCCTGTAGAGATAGGATTTGAGGTCCCTTTGATGTCTGCAACCACTGCTTAGCGAGTTTATTTATTTATTTTTTAATATCAAAGATTAAGTAAGGCAGCAAGCTTAATAACTCGGCCAGCACCGAAAGGAAGGAACGATTATGCTTATTAAAAGGCTTAAAGCTGAATATTGCATATTTTTTAATTGAAAATTTCTACGTATAAAGAATATTTAACAATTATTTTCGACTCAATTCTGCATTTTGTTAAATGTTCATATCAAGCCTGAAATGTAAAAATGACCAAGATGAAAATTTAGGTGTGGTTAGATCTTTTCTGATCATCCTGGTGGCCTATCATCCCATCTTTGGTCCGTTAGACGCGTTTTGGCATTTCAACACATTCTGTGGCCGATGAAATATTTCAATTCATCTTATTGCTGAGTTACAATGTTATGTACTTTCTGGTCAACCTTTACTCAAAAACGAAATATCTAGGATCTTTTCATAAATGACACGTAAGTCGTTTTTTGGGTTGCGATTATCGTTCACGCGCAGAAATGTTCATTTCATTGTTGAATTAAAATTTCAAATTACCTTGCACGTTTAGTGTGGCCCATGTCGCTAATGCAGCCCAGTGGAGGTAATTGTTAGCGAAATTCCTCCAACAGCCCAAGGCGCACAGTGTGACGTTCGCGACGAGCCCTGCGCTTGTCCAGATGAGTCTGTCTTCGCTGCCCAATTCTTGGCCGTGAGCGCACGCTATTCCTAACAAAAATATTAGAAATTAAATATAATAACCGTAGCCTAAATCTGTCATGAAATTAATGTACAAATAAAAAAGTGTTACTTAGGGAATGTGAGTTATAAGAAAGACGCTTGACGATTATAAACAATCAAATAAATGTTTTTAATTGTGTTATTTAATGTTATCCATTGTCAAAAAATATTGAAAAATGGGTGGTGATTAGTGACCGTTAGTCGATGATTATTCGGAAATCGTGAGATGCGGTCTGGTGTGACGTAGATTTCAGAAAAGGGAACTTTCAACACGACACACAAGAATGGAACAATTACGCAGAAAACAAACTCTTTGATCCCTGAAGATGATCTCAATAAAGATTGAAACGTTGGCACTATAAAGAAAATATTTTTCTGAAACCTACATCACACCGGACCGCATCTCACGATTTCTGAATAATTATAAATAGAGAAAAGACGAGAAAAGGTGTTTGTTGTGATTAGTGACCGTCAATCGATCATTATTCAGAAATTGTGAGATGCGGTCTGGTGTGATGTAGGTTTCAGAAAAACATTTTCTTTATCGTGCCAACGTTTCGATCTTTATTGAGATCATCTTCAGGNTCTATTTTTAGACTATGTCTGTATTGTTTAAATTTAATGTGTGGTGATTAGTGACCGTTAATCGATAATTATTCAGAAATTGTTAGATGCGGTCTGGTGTGATGTAGGTTTCAGAAAAACATTTTCTTTATCGTGCCAACGTTTCGATCTTTATTGAGATCATCTTCAGGGCTCAAATTGTAAACTCGGCACGCAAGAATGGCACAATTACACAGAAGACAAACACTTTGAACCCTGAAGAAGATCTCAATAAAGATCGAAACGTTGGAAAGATAAAGAAAATTATTTTGTGAAACCTACATCACACCAGACCGCATCTCACGATTTCTGAATAATCATTGTAAAATCATATATTCACATAGTCGATTTGAGCAAGTAGAACCCCAGAAATAAATATATTAAAAAACGGAAAATTTCCGCTTTCAAAAAAATTTTGTTGGTTAAACTAGGGCCTATGGAGCGTTGTATCACCAATAAAGTTTTCCCACCAACCTGGTCGTCCCCTTGTCAGATTTACTTGACAAATTATGACCCTTTACGCCCTTTGAATTTTGGACTTGGAGTGCGAAGTTCGGTCCGATTTTGCCTCGGCCTGTCCCACTTTTGAAGAAGTAGTATTCTGTAGAGTGACTATCGTGCTGTACCTTACTTCGCTTTCTCGTTCGTTTGGAAGTTTTTCTATTTTTCGTGGCCTTGTCATTGGATCTAGCCGATCATCGTTTAAATTATGATCGTTGGAAATTCAAATTTTTATAGAACGAAGAAAGGTAAGGGAACCCTTCGTCCAGTTTTCCACCCCGACGTTTTCACCCTCCTATGCATCCGTTACTTACAGGGTGACTTTTCAGCAAAGAACATCCGACCTGAAGTTAATGAGTTTTAAATAACAACTGACACATATTTTCAAATACACTCCACTTTTAGCAAATCCATTTTGATCTTGATCTGCCCGTATTTTTTGAATATTCGAACTATTTTGGTCCGTTACGAACCGGATTAGAACATAATGAAATAATGTTAAACACATTACCTGGTAAAATTAGGGAAATACAATATTAAAAGGAAAAAATACATCGTTCAGTGTTGTCGCGATCTTGCATCTTGCATCAAAGAATGCACTGGATATTGTATGTTGGTCACCAAAATGAACTTTTTAAATTTAATTTTAGATTACCCTACAAATAATTTCCCGTATCTTCGTGCCTTCGGACCATTTGTTTCTTTTTACGGAATTATAAAATACTACTTACTAATACGGAGCTATATCATAATATTGTGAAGGGTATTCACGCAACCTGTGCTGTTTCGTAAAATCGTCTAAAGTGGCTTTAGTTCACTAACCACATGTTAGTTCTTTATAATGGAAGTGATTTAAGAAAAGCAATAAGAAAAAAGAAACCGTAAGCTTGAAAAATTGTGTTGAATTGTGGTCAAACAAAAAAAAAAATCTTAGGTATCAAACTATCTCGAACAAGGTACTTTTAGACAGAAAAAAATGCCTTTTTTACTTTTCTGCCATTTAAAAACGTTAATTATTCGCTGCTAACTGCAACTAAATATTCACAGAACGTATCAAAAAACCTATGATAAAGTTAAGTCACCCACCCAAATCCTGAAATCGGTTCTTAAGCCTACCACCTCTTTCTAACAGGCCCAGATTAACAAAGGAAAACGTTTTATATTTTAGGTGACGTATAAACTAGAGTAAAAAAAAAAAAAAAATCAATCACATAAGTAGTATAATCTGAGAAATGACGAGTTGGCCTTAACAAAACTGATGATTCCAACGTTGGAAAATAATATGTTAAATAGTTTTACCTCTTGGAACAGTCATTTTTTAATTATAATCAGGCAAGACATCATTCCATGGAAAATAATAAGATTCGCCCCTGAAATGATTGCCAATCATACGGACACAATTGGAAAAGAAGAAGTTGTACAGTTATCTCGGGAACTCGGGTTTTGTCCAACGAACCTAACTGTATATACGCATGGCTCCAAATCTGAAGAAGTTGGAGTGGCGTTTTTGGATATAAGAAGGAATAAAGACGGCAATTGAAATTACCCAAAATGGCAACAATATTTTCGGCCGAAGCGATCGCAATCCTACAAGCACTTAAATTCAGAAATGATAGTGAATCCAATTTCTCCATAAACCGATCAAACAGTCTAAGTGTCCTATCTGCACTTGAGAACCAAAGTATCCTCAAAGACCCGATCATTTTACATATCAAGAAATTGTTGATGAACCTCAGGAGGTATGTTTGATGTAGGTCAACGGGCATGACGGCCACAAATATAACGAGAAAGTTGATAAAATAGCAACGAGCGCCGCTCGATCATAGCTTAAGTAGATCGAAGGGAAAGTACTACGCTCTAATCCGACCGATTAGTACAAAGACATGATTTACACACCCAAATATCTCAAGGAGGAAATTAACAACAAGAATTAGGCTAAGATTGGACCATAATTATCTTCCACCTCGTCTAATCAATTGAAAATGTTAGTCTCTCTGTTATTTTCTTGTAACAATCGAACCATGGCGGATGCATATCATATGCTGTTAGCATGTCCTAAAACAACAACGGCAGGGAAAACTTTTTTGAAAACCTTGTAAAACATGAAGTCAATCTTCCATCCAGGGTGGCTGACACGCTAAAGGAAGTAGAAAAAAATCAAATAAAAAAAACCTGTGCAGGCTGTTCGTGGACAATGATATAATTATATGATGGAGTGATGTAAACAAATACAAACAAAATCGTTAGCAATTGTGTAATTATGTATGTAGCCATCTATTTATTTATACATACTGAGTGACTTTATAGAAGACACGGCTGAATTTCTCTTAAACCAATGACGTTATTAACAAAATACATGTTGAATATTTTTGTCTAGTTTCAATTTTTACCTTTTCTTTTGGAGAAAAATGTACCGGGGGCAGAAGCAAAGGGTACCGCAGGCACCGTTCAACTTTACAATTTTAAATACCACCCTATACATCCTGCCATATTATTTTAAAGGATATTTTACGCTGAAAACAATGGTGAAATAGGATTTTAAATTTGTCAAAAATGACAAAGTCATGGCATAAAGAAACTGTCAGCGTAATTCCGACAAGAAACCGAACATTTTACTGTACGTTCGCGAAAATCCTAATTCCCTTCTCCCAAATGTTGGAAGGGTTTTAGGTTTTCGAAAAAAAAATTAGAGATTTATTCCGGACTTACAATTTCAAGACGTATCCCTCTCATCTTTTCCAGGGACTTCGAGACTTATTTTTGCCATAACACTGTCATTTTTTACCAATTTACAATCCGCTTGCACCATTGTTTTCAGCGTAATAAATCCTTTCAAATGATGTGTCAGAATTTATAGGGTCGTATTTAAAATTTTGAAGTTGAACTGGGTCTGAGGTACCTTGTATAATTTTTCTACAAAAAAGGTAAAAATTTGAAACTAAAAAATATTAAACACGTATTTTTTGTTTGTTTGATGTGTCGAGCGTCATTGGTTCAAGAGGAATTCAGCCGAGCCATTTAAAAAGAACACTATTTATACATAAAATAAATAAAAATATATAAATATATTTATACAATACATGTTTATAAATATGTATATATGTATATACTTATTTATTTATTTATTTATACAGTTATATTGTACTACATTACATCTAGAACATTACGGGTTTTAATACTATTTATTTCACAGACATAAAAAAACCTGACATGGCTGTTTATATTCAAATAAAGCGTCTATGTAAATCTTTGTAACATTTGTAAATAATTGACCGGTTGTCCGAGTATAAACAACCCAGTTCCTGACTGGGCACGGGGAGTTTAATAGTTACTTGTACAAGTACAAAATAAAAAACACTAATTTATGCCGATGTGGAGAAATAGAAAGCAGTGAACACATAATTACGAAATGCAAAATATACCAGCAAAAAAGAAGTGAACTAGAAACGAAAATAAAAAGTAAAACAGATGACGAAAACAAATTGGTGATACTCACAAAAAATAAGTACAATTACGAACAGTTTACAAAATTTGTAAATTATGTATATGAAATAAAGGGTAAGGACAGTTCACAAAATAATAATCTATAAATATATGTAGCCAAATTATGTATTATGATTGTTCATTTTAAGTTGTTAATTATATTATATTATTATATATCATAGTATTTATATAATTGCTTATTATTCCCTTACAAGTTCATTGTTAAAATAAAAATTTGTTATAATTAGTTTAAATTGGTTAAATTGTTGTAAAACCGACCAGGTTACAAATTGCATGTTATAATTTATAAATTGTATATAGTGAAATTATTTGTATGGATTGTGTGTTTTCAAATTGTTTATTAAATGGATAAATTGTATATAGGCAAATTGTGTATCAGGATTGTTGATATTAATTTGTTAATATGTTTATTTAATTGTTTTATAGTTCCCTTACAATTTTAGAGTCAAAAAATAGTTTAAAAAAATATACAAAAATAATAAAAATTGTTATAATTGATATTATTTGTTTAAGATCGTTGTTATGATTATTGTTGTTATAATTATTAAAATTAAATATTTAGGATGTTATTATTATAATTTGTAACTGTATGTGGTTAAATCATTTATCTCAAATTGTTGGTTTGAAATTGTTAACTTAATCGTTCAATTATTTTACCAGATTATTTTTATTAAGAAATATAGAATAATAAATCNAATAAAAATTGTTATAATTGATATTATTTGTTTAAGATCGTTGTTATGATTATTGTTGTTATAATTATTGTTAATATTTAGGATGTTATTATTATAATTTGTAACTGTATGTGGTTAAATCATTTATCTGAAATTGTTAACTTAATCGTTCAATTATTTTATCAGGTTACTTTTATTAAACATATAGAATAATAAATCTCTATAAAACCAGATCGCCGCCCAGCGGTCCATCCCGGTAACGTTATAATATCCTTGTAACGGCTAAAGATCTGTGTAAGGGACCTGTTGTGATTTAAAAAAAAGTATATATAAAATGATTACTGAAAAGTAATTAATGTTCAAGAAAACAAGTAGAATGACCATCTTAATAATCGTTTAATTAAGTAATAGCTGTAAGAGTTTTTATACCGGTGAACAGCAAAAACACACAAACAAATGATCACAACAGGTTGTCCGAGTATAGTATGCAGTATTTATCAAAGGATGACTAATTATAGTTTTATGTCAAAGATTATAATGTAAGAATTATTTTATTTGTTGAAAAAAGGATGTTTAGGTTAAATAAAATGACATTTCTGTTTATGCGAGGCTTATTTCGAGGCGGTACTATTTATAACGTTTGCGTAAACAACGTTTCGTCGTTTTTTAAACGTTGGCTTATCGATGTCAACAAAGAAAGAAGGAAGGTAATTTATTTTCAATTTAACGCGAAACGTTATGAATTCATAATATGTGCTTACATGCCCGTTTTCGGATATTCAATTACTGGCAATAGTACACATTCCGTTCTTCTCGGTGTCACGACACAGGGTACGCCATGTTAAAAATAATACATGAACCATTGTCCATTAGCCAGGGGTCAAAAGTCGTGGATTTTCCGGCAATAGGAGCAAAGAGAATATGTCTGGAAATGAGAAAACGACAGCAGGCTGATAAGTCGATGTTCAATTTTTAAGGCGTTTTCCCAGAAAGGACGAAAATGTTTAATAAAAAAATTTTATTTTTATATTACAATTCGAAGATCATTTTTGATACGGTTAATACAACTATTAAGCCGTGATCAATAAAAAGTAAGTAAATTGAAAATACGGGATCAAACATGTTATTATTATTAATTTTACGAGGGTTCGCAACAGCAGAGGTCATATAAACCCTCAGGGTGGCGGTGTTTTAAAAAAAAAAGCCCATTTGTAAATATGTCAGGTTCGAATGCAGGGCCGCTGGATTCGAACCTGGGACCTTTACTTTACAGTGATGAGCGCCGGGTCAACACCTAAACTGTTGCGGCCACCAATGCCCCCATGTTATAATTATAATGCCCATCGAACCCTTTGAAATAAATTTCTACATAACCAATTAGATTTGACGCTTTTTGAGCAAGTTTAGCTCCACAGGTTTGGGAGGTGTGGACTTTTCCAAGTCTAGATGTTATGGTTTTTATCCATATCTCAAAAAAATATCCTCGTAATGCTTTTAAAATAAGTCAATTTTTACAAATGAGAAGGTCCTTGTGGATACATTGGCTTGGCCCCTTTGGCTAATGTCACAAGGTCACCGCGCTCAAGTCTGGGTCTTCCAGGGTTATGACGTTTTTGAAAAATTTCAAAGACTTTTTGTGAAGAAGCTTCTCAGTCTACCATCTATTTCCCCAAGTTATATGATAATCCTTGAATCCAGTTTGCCCCCTCTCTTTTCATATACGTTCTCCCTTCTATTGGTTGAGATAAAAAAGTCAGCCTCACGAGCGGGATTTGAACCCACGACCTTCGGATAAATATGTCGCTGCTCTAGCACTTAAGCTATCGTGACTTCGATCCTCTCTGACACCAACACCCATCACAACCTACAAACTTTCGAATTTTGTCGAATTTCAAAACTAGTGAAGTTATACTTCGTTTTATATATTAAATCCACCCAGCCGAAGGTCGTGGGTTCGAATCCCGCTTGTGACACTAACTTTTTCATTTCAACCAAAACCTTACATAAAAATATTATTTAATTGAAAGTGGTAATTTGGTCAATACACCACTAAATACAATCGATTATATTTACGTAAGGTTCTGAGCCTTCCGGATCATCGTCTGCCTAAAACCATGGCTAGACAGATAATTAGAAAGAACATTTCCTGGTTCATGCAATGGCCATCTCTAGCACAAAAATATTCTTGCCCTCTTCAAAATTCCGATGTTCACGAGATTCTCTTGGAACTTTTAAAACTACTCAATAAAATAAACGAAGTTCATCGTGAAGTGGTTACGCATAGAGTAAAAAGTACAGAAAGGTTTTGCTTGTATAGGCAATTTTCGTGGAGCACTCATTGTCCTTCATACTCAGACTTTCTCAGAACCTTAACCTTAGAGACTCTTGATGGCTCTTTTAAATTAAGAGGGGAGTTGTTATATCTGAAATTTAAACCCTGGGTTGTAAATGACCCATACAATGAAATCTGTCCTCTCTGTAACAGTAATGCACGGGGAAATGTGTATCACTTTCTGGGAATTTGCTCACTACTTTCAGAACTGTGTGATCATATTTGGGAAAGCCCGTTTTTTCCAGAGCTGAACTTCTTGAATATCTCATCAATCAAAAATCCCTCATTTTTAATATCTTTTGCTCGGCACGCCTGTAGAGTGAACTCCAGTAGCTCCCCAGTAGCGTTCAGATATGCAATTATTGTCGACACTATGAAATTAATTGTAAGCAGTTACATACTGTACTAAAGTTTTTGAAGAAATAACAAGTTTCCTTTAAATTTTACTATTATTCCTTCATTTTTTTTTCTTGTCATTCACACTTTATATGACTTTTTTTCTTCTCATTTGTTTTATTTTGTTTATATAATATCTATAATTAAAAGTTTTATTATGCATTAACTCAGCAGACGGCTCCTAGCCATGCTTATTATACTTTGTACCAATTGTTATATTTTTCTATTTTAATAAAGTATTATTATTTTTAACAAGGTCACAAAAAAATCGTGCTTCCTGAAAATACTTAAATACTTGACCTTAGTTTGAATACAAAAATCTGTTGATAGAGTAATAAATCAATGTAAATGTTTTAAGTATGGTACCATAACCTGAAAACTACAACTTTTTGTATTGAGATTTTTCCATGAAAACTGATGTTATCTTTTGTTCCTTGTAGAAATACTTCTAAATTATGATAACAAGAATTTTTCACACGTAACCTTTATATTTATGTAATATATACATTTATTCTTGTGTTGTGATATTATACTAAACCAAATAATTTAAACAGACATTTTTTCTCATAAATTTTCCACATTCTCAGTTAAAATTTTGAAACACTTCAGTTATCAACATTTAAAATGCTGCGTTTAATAGTTATCAAATGATGGCGATATTTATCTCGAACACACATGTACCCAGAGGCACGTAAATGCAAATTTAACCGTACACATCGTGGAAAGCGAAGGACGTCAAACACAGCTAAGTTCTAGACAATGCCCTGCCCTAATCCTTGGATAACAGATGTTCGATTCTCCCGTGCTTCTAATGGGCCGGGGTCGGGTTACCAATAGACATTGCAAATTGAATTCGAGGAGTTCCTCCGAAGTTGCTGGCTCATCTTTAATTTGCTCCCTTATTCAAATAAGTCTGTCGACTCTCATACGACGATATTATTTTTTTTGTAAATTTTTTGAAGGTTTCTTAATGTTATATTAATAGTTTTAATTCCCAAACAACATTCATACTGACCTGATGTGTGACAGTAAATCCTAATAAATATTAGACAAGAAAATATTGAGCTTGATGTGTGAGTTTTTTTCATAGTGAGGAATTATGGGCAACATCAAGGTTTGTTACTAGGGTTAGAACTATTTTGGAAATAAATTCAGTGACATATCGTAATGACGGCCTTTCACCCTAGAGAAATATTATTTCTGGATTTTCATTTCGGAGAGAGGGTAGATTTTTTACGGCCGCACTATAATTTTTTACTCTGACATAAAAAGGGCCGTTATCGAGGAGTCGATACGGTTTTTAAGGCGTACCTGCGACTACGAGTTTGACGATGGCGTCGACCAGGTTGACTATGATCAGAGATCTCTGCCTCTGCCGGTGGGAGTAGCGCTGGTATGCTAGTTCAAGGCGCTTTTCTCTGAAACTGTTGGTCAACGAAAGAAGATAGACGCCCTTGTAGACCTTGCCTCTTTTGAAGACCTCGGTTTCATCCAGATCTGCAACAACAACACTCATTGTAACCACAATTTACAACTTGTCTTACAACTAGAACCTCGAGAAATTTCTAAACTTGAGAAATTGAATTTCAGAAAAACTTCAGCTAATATTGTTCTACGAAGGAATAACGGTGATGGTACTATTATCGTGTATTTTGTGTCTTTTTTCTTAATGGTTTCTGAAGATTGGTGACAAATATGATTGGTGCAATTAATATTTGGAAGTATTCATTTATAGTTCGTAGTTCGTACATACATGTTATCTATCATTATGATTTAATATGATCTAACCAGTATATATTCTCTAGTTTTTAATATTTATTTGCTATCAAAACAAGATTGTCCTGACCTCTGGTCGAGATGAAACTTTTCTAATTAATTGTAGGGGGAAAAGTCTAAACTGTTCGCTCCTGCAGTGTTGACTACAAACTAAAAACTTTTCATATCGATCATTCTTCCTGTGTCATGATAAAAATATGGCGATGAATGAAATGAAGGTAACAGTAGATTATATTTCATGGTGGCTATAACTTATTTTGAGTATTGTTAAATGCAATATAAGAAATACTAGATAGATAAAAATAAAAAGACAATTGAAAAGCTTATATGAAAAATGTATATAAGCCTTGTAAACGTTTTTAAAGGAACAGTTTTATAAATATATGAAACGCTAGCCAAAAACTAGGATGATACACAAGTGCCGAAAACCATGTATCATTTTTATTATCGTTTCGATCTAAAATATCTAAATAATTCATTATATTTAGTGGTCTATTGACCAAATTATTTCTTTCAATTAATTAATATTTTTATGTAAGGTTTTTGGTTGAAATTAAAAAGTTAGTGCCACGAGGGGGATTCAAACCCACGACCTTCGTCTCAATATGCCGCTGCTCTTACCACTTGAGTTATCGTGGCGAAGGTCCGTGGGTTCGAATCCCGCTCGTGACAATAACTTTTTCATTTTAGTATTTAGTAGTTATAATTGATCGTATTAAATATTTTGATTTATTAATTATTTATTTTAAAAATTCCATTTTAATTTAAGATCTTTGTTGAGATGAAAACGATAGTTACGATAGTTCAGGTGATTAAAGCAGCGGCTATTGAGCCGAAGGTCGTGGGTTCGAACCCCGCTCGTGCACTTCCATTTCAACCAAAAATCTTACATAAAAATATCTAAATAATATTAAACTTCTAGAGAAAGTAACAATTTTTATTAGTTATCCTAAATTTGAAATATATAGTTTGATGTGTTTGAAGTTTATCATGCAAAATATTCCTGTGCTCTATGTAAAATACGGAGATAAAAGCAGTCATGACGAATGAAAATTGGAAATTTCAGCAGATAAGATAAAAGAGAAAATAAGCTATCCAATTTACACGGTATCAAATTTACACTCGGGCTGGAAACAAAACAACCAAAATCTATTTAAACATAAATAAATAAACAACGATTCAGTTGATAAATGAATCCCCATTCCGTAATTTACCCAAATTGGATGTTAAAATAGACGCGCGAAACAAATCGAAAAACAGCAGAGGCCTTTGTTTCGATTGACGCCTCTGAATTAAACTTGTGACAAGTTAATCAAACCAATGAGGTCAAACGAGATCATTAACATTGTCCATTTATTAACGGTGTCGACAAAATGGAGAATATATTTGTCTCGATTCAGAACATAATATATGGACTGTTTATGAACGATCCATCCGTCTTTTTCCAAGAGGACCATCAATCTCGAGCCATATCAGGCTGGCGTCTCGTTGTATCTTGAATGTATTCATAAAACAAGAAATGTTGTTAGAGATCTGCTGAGATTTAAAAGAAATCGGCTCAATATAATTTTGCTTTTAAATATTACCATTAAATCCCTATGATTATAATAAATCCATATGACCATTTTAAAACAGATTTAACAGGTATAGGCCTAATAAAAATTGTTCAAGCTGTTGGATAATATTTTGTACAGTAGTTTGCTAGGTAACTACCTAACCAGACCAACTTCACGAAACTTACATCATTTAGATTAAATGTCATATTTTCTGAAACACGATTATTGGATCAGGTGAAGTTTCTGAATATAGAAAGAGTATATTTTTTAAGAAGGACCTTAGAGCCTTTAAGGTTCATTTTTGGCAGAAAGACAGAAAACGCTTTATAATGAAATTTTCCACCACCATCGATTAAAGAAAAATATTTTATTTATAAGACTATGAGCTTCTTGAATCCAATAATGAATCCATCACGCTGATGGATCATTATCTCTTGCATTTGTGATCGGCTGAGTTTTAACGATCCGGTGCGTTCATTAACTTACCCTATCATTGAAGAAGAATTCTTTCTCTGCCAGTAAAGCGGACATGTCGCACACAAGTGTTGATGAATCAATGCCAAAAAAAAAAAAAAAAAAAAAAAAAAAAAAAAAAAAAAAAAAAGTGTTGATGAATGATTTCTATCTTTCAAATAATTGTCAAGCTTCTAGCTTTCAAGCTTTCTCATCAGTCTTGATGGGGCTCTGCTAATTAAATAGGTAGCTACTATCAATTTGCTTACAGGAAGCAGGCATGATCGGATTTAGTGGAATTGAGCGTAGGCTAAACGCACGACCGAAAAATCTTGCTGGTTGCATAGGCACAACGCCGTGTTTTACAAAGGTTGAAAAGAAAAAACTAGAATCGGACAAATTATTAAAAACTTAATTTTGTTTAAAATATACGATATTATGTTATCTTAGAACAAATTTTACATTTAAATTAGAAGAGCATTTTATTAAAACGATGTCATTTAACTGAAAGACATTGCTCGAACCGGTGACCACTGAAATGTCAAGTAAGGACGTGAGGAACTAAATTTTCTCTTCAAATTATAACCGAAATTGGATCAAATATTTTCACAAAACTTGCAAATTGACGAGGCGGTGTAAGTTCATCCTTCGTTTTAACTAACCACCCAATATTGTTTTTTGTTTTTGTAATAACAATTTAATAATCCAATTTATTGTAAAATGTCACGAGAATTTGACTTTATAAACATAATATGAATTGTTGGGATTGATGGAATTTTAAAGATTTATACGAGCACGTTGTTTTCTTTAGGATAATAATTAATGCGTATTGTGTCAAGACTGGGGTAGTTCAGAAGAAAAATGAATGAGCAAAAAAAAAAAAAAATCAGACTAAAAGTGAATACAAATAGAGAATGAGAAAGGGTAGATTTTATGCTGTTATTTTAAATAAATATGTATTTTTATCTCTCCTTTGTAGTATTTTTGGTTTTAATTTATGTAAATTAACTTTTTAAGGTTTAATTTTTTAAATATTGCACGTTCATATCTATTTTTCTTTTGCAATTATTATTTTAATTATGTAAAAACACCTACGAATTTGTTAAAAAATATTCTTGGTCCATACATTTAACCAAATCCATGGATTTGGATTTATGTAGGCCAAAATCTGCATATGTACCTGCTTACATACAAACATGTGCCGAGTTGGGGCCTATTGCCTTCTCGTATAGTCTACGCCAATTCAAGCTTTTGCTATTTACAGTAAATTACCGGCAAACTCAAGGATCACCCACCCCGGGTATCTGTCCAGGCACAAAGTTGGGCTCCAGGTGCTATCAACAGCTAGGTCAATTCAGCACCGAACGCACGCAGTTCTAAACCCATTTGTACTTACGTTCATCTTTAAATACATTCACTCCTATTTACATACCATTCATTCAATTAGGGTGATGGAGTACTCCTTTACACGTATTATATAACTAACCTAATTGAAGGTCATGGGAACTCAATATTCCACTATCAACCCTCTTAAATCACACATTTGATCACATACATTTACCCTAATAAATACATTCGTTCTCAACACAAACTAGGTGTACACTACTATTATTACTATATACAATAGAACAACCTCGTTTCCTCCACGAATCGGAATAGGGGATCTAGATACTTGCTGCCGTGTTCAAGCACAGTTCTCAAATCGGGTTGCGTACCTGCGCGCTCTCTGTTTGGAGCCTAGGAATTAACCCTTCATTTAGGTGGGACACATTGAGCTACCTTTCTCTGTTTGCCGGACACACACGCGGGCTTTGGCCCAAATGTAAGTGTCCGTGTGCCAACGTGGACTATTGTTAATGGATGGCCCTTCTTCTAAGAGTCAGATCTTCCAAGGGTCACCAATCAACAGTGCTCTTGATAGGAAAGAGTCTCTCTGTTGACTTGAAGCTGCCACCTTCTTTTAATCATGTTTTTATCGCATTTTTCTTGTCAGAGGGCCGCTGTGGTTAAGTGCGGAGGTTGGGGCGTCCCGTCATTAGCATAGCCGGCTCGTCCGCCTTTTCATTACCCTCCCAAGCCTATTTGGCCAAGTACCAAGTGCCGAGAGACTCCAGTTCGTGGCATTTCTCCAACAGAAGCAGTACGATAGGGTTGACGGAAAGCCTGTCATGTACCGCAATAGCCGTGCTGAGGGAGATGGTGCAGACTAGGTCCCCACCCCAAGCTCTGCAAAATTGCATACATTTCTGCCGTATAAACGGATGAATGGACGTACCCTCGCGATACTCGGCACATACCACACCCTCGTCGGCTTAAATCAGTCTGTAAAGGCGAGCCGAAAGCCAATGTACCTTGATCTAAGCTCCAAGAATTTAGCTCGGTAAAGGTATCGCGGAGTAGACGACGTGGCTAACACGGCGTGATCTTCCCGGAGAAGTACGGTAGGAAGGACCCAGTGCGGAGTCGGCCGTTTGCCCCGTCCGAGTACAATTCAGAGAGTCATCCCCGCCTCTCTAAGCGTATTCCCAGAGATCGCGTCCGGGTTTGAAGTCACTCGTATATTTTACTATAATAGCATCAAAGGATCGCACCCGAAAGCTAATGTCCCAGTTTGACAAGGAATCCCGCCACATAGTAAAGGGTGAGCTTCTCTCTCCGAAATTCGCGCGGCAGCAAAGGCTGGCCAAACGGCATGTTTTGAACGCACCAGAG